ACTATCCCCTCCCTCCTAGATTGTAAGCTCCAAGGAGCAGGGCCCTCGAACCCCTCGTGTATTGTTTTGTTACTGTATTGTCTCATGTTCTGTCCCCCACTATAATCTACAGCGTTGAGCAAACTTTTTGGCACTATATAAATACTGTATAATAATAATAATATATTAATTGGTTTGTGTGAAAGTTATAGCGCCTACAAACTATGGTATATATACTGGAATTTATGCATTTAAAAGTTATGCAAATATCGAAATGCCCTAATGGGTGGATGTCGGTCATGTAAAAATCTAGGCCGGCTGAATTTGCATACAGACTGACCTAAGCATTGCCCACATGTGATGCTGAGCCTAAAATTAGAAGTAATGAAATTCCTCAAATTTGCTGTCGCAGGCTATGGACAGTAAGCCTGAGGGGGAAAGGGCTAGATCAGGGGTCGGCAACCCCCAGCATGTGTGCCAGATATGGCAAGCAACCCCATTTATGACCCCATTTATGCTGGAACGCAAGGGATGCCCAGGTCACTCACCTCCACCTCTCATGCATCAGCAAAGGCAGCCGGGAGTTGCGGCTGCCTACACAGGAGGGAGCTGATGCCCGTTGTCTGCCCTCTTGACACCTGTCCTCTGCACCGCTGACACCTGTCCTCTAGCCCGCTGACATGCGTACTCTGCCCCGCTGAGCCCTGCTGACCCCTGCAGCTTTTGCTGAGTGCCGTGTCAGCAGTGACACCATCCTCTGCCCTACTGACACGCATCCTCTGCTCTGCTGACACCCCTCCTCTGCCCTCCTGATGCTTGTCCTCTGCCCTGCTGAGCCTTGCAGACCCCTGCCCTATGCCGTGCAGCTCTGCCGAGTACCGTGTCAGCAGTGACACCATTCTCTGCTCTGCTGATGCCTGTCCTCTCTGCCCTACCGACCCCTGCCCTATGCCAAGCAGCTCTGCTGAGTGCCTTGTCAGCAGTGACACCATCCTTTGCCCTGCTGATGACTGTCCTCTGCTCTGCTAATGCCCATCCTCCTCCTTGCTGATGCCCGTGCTCTGCCCTGCTGATCTCTGTCATCTGTCTTGCTGACACGTTTCCTCTGCCCTGCTGACCCCAATCCTCTGCCCTGCTGAGCCGTGCCCTATCCCTGCCCCATGCTGTGCTGACTCCAGTCCTCTACCCTGCTGACATCTGTTCTCTGCCCTGCTGAAGCCTGTCCTCTGCCCGGATGATGCCCATCATCTGCTGTACTGACTCCATCCTCTGCTCTGCAGACACTCATCCTATGCCTTTCTGACCCCAGTCCTCTTCCCTTCTGACCCCAATCCGCTGCCATGCTGAGCCCTGCTGACACTGTCTTATGCCCTGTTGACCTCAGTCCTCTTCCCTGCTAACCCCGCCCTACGCCCTGCTGACCCCATTTTCTGCCCTGCTGACCTCTGTTTTCTACTTTTCTGACCCCTGTACACTTCCCTACTAACTCCTGTCGCTTGCACTGCTGACTCCCTGTCCTTTGCCCTCTCTTCTGCTTTGCTGGCCCTGACCTCTGCCTTGCTGACCCCTGTACACTGCCCTACTGACCTCCCATCCTGTGTCCCCCTGACATTTTTTACTGCACCCCCACATCAGGCAGGCTAAATTCGGTCCTTGTGTTTAGTCGGACACTTCAACCTGTCTGCTCTCATTTTGGACTGGTATTTAACCAGCTTTTGGGCACTACTAATTAAGAGGTGCAGGAGTTGGACTGATCTGAGGTGTGATGGTACAAGAATTATGGTGATCTCATATGTGAAGGTTCAGAAAATGGGGCTGATCTGAGGTGTGAAGGTGCAGGAACTGGGGCTGATCTGTGGTGTGATAATGCAGGAATTGGGGCTGATCTGAGGTGTGAAGGTTCAGGAATTGGGGTGTTTTGAGGTCTACAGTGCAGGGATTGGGCTGGTTTGAGGCGTGGAGGTGCAGGAGATTGGGCTGATCTGAGGTCTGATGGTGAATGAATTTGGACTGACCTGAGGTGGGAAGGTGCAGGATTTGGGGTGATTTGAAGTGTAAAGGTGCAGAAATTGGGGCTGATCTGAGGTGTGAAGGTGCAGGAACTGGGGCTGATCTGAGGTGTGATGGTGCAGAATTTGGGGCTCATCTGAGGTGTGAAGGTGCTAGAATTGGGGCTGATCTAAGGTGTGATGGTGCACGAAATAGGGCAGATCTGAGGTGTGATGGTGCAGGAACTGGAGTGATGTGAGGTGTGAAGGTTCAGAAAATGGGGCTGATCTGAGGTGTGAAGGTGCAGGAACTGGGGCTGATCTGTGGGTGTGATAATGCAGGAATTGGGGCTGATCTGAGGTGTGAAGGTTCAGGAATTGGGGTGTTTGGAGGTCTACAGTGCAGGGATTGGGCTGGTTTGAGGCGTGGAGGTGCAGGAGATTGGGCTGATCTGAGGTCTGATGGTGAATGAATTTGGACTGACCTGAGGTGGGAAGGTGCAGGATTTGGGGTGATTTGAAGTGTAAAGGTGCAGAAATTGGGGCTGATCTGAGGTGTGAAGGTGCAGGAATTGTGGCTAGTCTGAGATGTGAAGGTGCAGGAATTTGGGTGATGCAAGGTGTGAATGTGCAGGAATTGAGAGAATCTGAGGTATGATGGTGCAGGAATTGGGGTGATCTGAGGTGTGAAAGTTCAGGAATTTTTGGCTGATCTGAGATGTGAAGGTGCAGAAATTTGGGTGATGTGAGGTGCGAATGTGCAGGAATTGGGGCTAATCTGAGATGCGAAGGTGCAAGAATTGGGGCCGATCTGAGGTGTGAAGATGCAGGAACTGGGGTGTTCTGAGATCTATAGTGCAGAGATTGGGCTGGTTTGAGTTGTGGAGGTGCAGGATATGGGGTGATCTGAGGTGTGATGAGGAAGGAATTAGGGTGATCTGAGATGTGAAGGTTCAGGAATTGGGCTGATTTAACGTGTGAAGGTGCAAAGCTCAATAATAATTTCATACTGTTATTCAAGTCCTTTACAGCATTTAGTTTATAAAAAATCCTCTTTGTGACTGAGTGTGTGAAGTTGGCCTTTTTCTATATAGCTGGCACTCTTAATTTCTCCTGGTAAAGAAATAGGAGCTTTTGGGGAGCAGGGGGGAACGGGTACCCGATTTTGACGGGTACCCACTCCCACTTCTGCTTTGACTGCCTAGGCGATTGGAAGCAGAAGTTCTCCTAACCCCCTCCCAGCAGTCTTCTGGGACATGTGACAGGTGATTAAGAACTGATTGCTACACATAGTGAACAATTGATTGTAGCATTTATTATAATGTAGGACTGATTAGTCACTCATGACTGCAAATGCCCCAAATTTGTATGAACACAGAGCAGGTTCACTGGGTTTACATTAGAAAGTCTAAGATTTTCAAGTCACTACTGGAAGAGGGAGCAGATTGAGCCAAATCTGGCAAGAAGTTCCCCCTTACTTCCTATCCTGAAAACAAAGAGTCAGAGAGACAAGAAGCAATGGTAAATCTTTACAATGACAACACAGGTAGTAACAAAACACCTTCTGTAGTAAAGTGGGGTAGGGCTAGGAACCCTGCAAAATTTTTATTCCTGTCATGATGACCCCCTTCCCCTTCATTTATTGTACAGGTGTCTCTTTGGAAAAATGTGAAGGGAAATCTTCCCAGTGGAGTCACAAGCTGTCACTGTGATGTAAAGTGAGGAGAAAACTCCCCACTGGAGTAACATATTCTCTCTTGAACAGGAAGAACAGGGAGATCTCCCAAAAAACAGCAATAAAAACATTACAGAGTTGCTAACCCTTCTCCACTCTACGTAAGACAAGAACAAAACATTTTTGCTACACTTTAAACGCCCTGTACTATGCTCCTTTTTATCTTAAAGACAGTTGTACCATATCCTAGCCTTCAGCCAAGCCAGCAGGCCATGCACAGTGACATTTCCTGTGAAGATCTGGCAGCTCTCCTGCTGTGGTCTGTCTGTCTAACATTTGTTGGATATTGAGGTATCCTCATTCTTGGAATTCTTTTAGCTTATGCTTTCCAAATCTTTGTAATCTATTTACAAGGCCAGATGTTGATGAGGTATTTGGTCACAATTACTATTCTTGGTTACGCCCAACGTGCTGGCTATAGAAAACTGAGCACGTGACAAACCTCCAAGCTAAACGGAGGGACTGCTTTCATTTTTTTGTACTAAGAAAATCTGATTGTAAGTTATTCTGTGTATTGTGAATGCAGCAAGAAATTCAATGTTCTGAATTACTGTAATAGCTAACAAAAGGGTCAAGAACTTTATCACATTCTCAATTATTATTATTATACAGGATTGATATAGTGCCAACAGTTTGCTCAGTGCTTTACAAAATAAAGGGAGACAATACAGCAACAATACAGTTCAATACAAGAGGGTTAGGATTACTAAGTATTTTCTCTGATACCAGAAAAGCATTGACAACAATAACAATGCTCCTTATGGCCTTATGACTTGGTAAAAGGCCAGTCCACCCTTTTAGGGCAAAGCAACAGCTTTATCCAGCAAGTACTCAGCTTTCTCTTGTTGCCTAACTGCTCCATTCAGATGCCAGAAAAAAAAATACTTCTAGGTATGGGGGGGAAGTGGAATATAAGAGAGAATCATAGAGGCTACAGGGAGAGGAAAGGAAGGATCTATGGGGTATGTGATAAAGTGGTAGGTGGATAAGACGGGGAGTCCTCAAGGATTGGGGGGCTGGGGTAGTGGCATCAAAGTTGAAGCAAGCAGGTGATTTCTGGTTGGTAGGTATTGTTGGTAGGTAGTTGTTGGTAGGTCTTGCAGTCAACATCTTGCTTATCAGAGTTTACTGCATACAGCATTTAACTACAGAAAAGTGGTACTATAGTTTGTTTACTGGTTTTAAAGATTTTGGATACACTATATTGCCAAAAGTATTGGGACACCCCTCCAAATCATTGGTTTCAGGTATTCCAATCACCTTCATGGCCACAGGTGTATACAATCAAGCATCTAGACATACAGACTGTTTCTGCAAATATTTGTGAAAGAATGGGTTGCTCTCTGGAGCTCAGTGAATTCAAGCATGGTACCATGATAGATTTCCACCTGTTCAACAAGTCCATCTGTGAAATTTCCTTGCTACTAAATATTCCTCAGTCAACTGTTAGTGGTATTATAACTAAGTGGAAGCAACTGGGAACAACAGCAACTCAGCCACAAAGTGGTAGGCCACGTAAAATGACAGAGCGAGGTCAGTGCATGCTGAAGTGCATAGTGCCCAGAAGTCGCCAACTGTCTGCAGAGTCAATAGCTAAAGAGCTCCAAAGTCATGTGGCCTTCAGATGAGCACAACAACAGTGCATAGAGAGCTTCATGGAATGAGTTTCCATGGCCAAGCAGCTGCATCCAAGCCTTACATCACCAAATGCAATGCATTGGATGCAGTGGTGTAAAGCACACCACCACTGGACTCTAGAGCAGTGGAAACGTGTTCTCTGGAGTGATGAATCATGCTTCTCTGTCTGGCAATCCAATGGACATGTCTGGGTTTGGCTGTTGCCAGGAGAACGGTACTTGACTGACTGCATTGTGCCAAGTGTAAAGTTTGGTGAAGGGGGAATTATGGTGTGGGGTTGTTTTTTAGGGGTTGGGGTTGGCCCCTTAGTTCCAGTGAAGGGAACTCTTAAGGCGTCAGCATACCAAGACATTTTGGATAATTTCATGGTCCGAACTTTGTGGGAACAGTTTGGGGATGGCCTCTTCTTGTTCCAACATGACTGCGCAGCAGTACACAAAGCAAGGTCCATAAAGACATGGATGAGCAAGTTTGGGGTGGAGGAACTAGACTGGCCTGTACAGAGTCCTGACCTCAACCTGACAGAACACTTTTGGGATGAATTAGAGTAGAGACTGCGAGCCAGGGCTTCTCATCCGACATCATTGCCTGACCTCACAAATGCGCTTCTGGAAAAATGGTCAAACATTCCCATAGACACACTCCTAAACCTTGTGGACAGCCTTCCCAGAAGAGTTGAAGCTGTTATATCTGCAAAGGTAGGCCAACTCAATATTGAACCCTATGGACTAAGACAGGGATGCCAATAAAGTTCATGTGTGTGTAAAGGCAGGCATCCCAATCCTTTTGGCAGTATAGTGTATATGAGCGTTCTACAGTTAAAGGAAATATTTTCGAATGGTTAATGCAGTAGCAATTCCCAAGGCTCTTTACAGAGCTGGACCAATAAAATTGTTTAATCATGGTGTATACTCTGATCCTTAGGCAGTGCGCTTTGGGGAAAGTCTGCAACATGTACCCATTGTTTCTTCATCAGGACACCTTCGGAAATAGGTAAAGATATACAGGTATGTACACGTTGTAAGAATAATTCTTGCTATACATACCAGTGTATAACACCATTGAGTTAAAAACTTATAGAAATTGGGAAGGGTGAGCCATATTTCATTCCAGTCTTCAGGTGGAAGGAATTATTGAATTCCTATTCCCAGTCAGTACAGTTTGTAGGGGTTAGATGGGAGGAATTGCCCAAAATACATGAATACAGTAGGAAGATTAGGAATAGGGAGATTTATTGACGAGCTGCAAAGAGACTAAACTCGATTCAAAGCTAAATGTGAGATATGGTTCCTAAGCAGAAAATCAACAAATTGACACAGGTGGATATAATGAAAAAGTTCCTCATTTAAAACTTTGTGGGAATTGTAGAGCCATGGAAAAACATGAATGCCTTGCAAATTGTGAGATCTACCTGTGGAATTGGTGTGCACTGTCTAGCCCTGGATGGAACATGGGGCAAAGTAAAGAGAGGTGAGATGAGGTTGCAGAATATTTAGTGGACTCCCATGGCATGCACCAGGATCAGGTTTTGAGACATAAAGAAAAGGGGATCCAGATGAGGGAAGAGAATGATGCTGGGAGAATAACTGGAATATCTTAAAAGGTCCATAGCAGGGGATCAGTTTCTGAATGTAGTTTGGTTAATGCTGCTATGTATGGCCTTTGCAGTTGTAGGGGATATTTGGGACTCCCAACCTACCTTTCAACTGAGGCTTGCAAATTTTTATTTTTTTTTATTGAGCCTTGGTTTAATTTGGACCCCATATACATTTTTGAGTATCTGTGACTGTAAGGACCGAATTATGTGGGAGTGTAGGTTGTAGGGGCCTGGGTGGTAGGCACTCCTGAGAGAAGGCACGGCACGGTGTATGCAGAGCCTGACACACATTCTGGGGATGTCCGGAGCTGTGAAGGTGAGTCTTTCTCTTTGTCGCCGGTGGAGTGGTAGTGGAAGGGTCTCTCGGGTAGTGGGCAGGGTGTTGACGTTGTTGGTCAATATCCGGCTCTCTCCATGGGAGGGGGAAGAGGGAGGTGGTGGTGGTGGTGTTGGTCGGTGTCTGTGGGGGCAGACAATTTTTGTGTTGCCCAGGGCAGCACAAAACCTAAATACACCACTGTCCCTATGAAGCACTGCCAACAGTCCCTATAGTGTCCCTCCTTCTCTAGAACCTCTCCCCACACTAGGCACACTCTCCCTGTCAAATGAGTTCCTGTCCCCAACCTAACCATGCGCAAAATTCAAACCAACTGCAGGAGGACAATGCTTTTTATAAACACTGCCTTCACTAAAGATGGCCACCTGGATGGCAGCGCCATAACAGACAGCAGTCCACCCGATGACATGTACAGAGGCCTAAGAGGAATGGGTATCCCTCCACTCTCCCTGCAGGGTGGTGCAACAGCACCACCTGTGTAGGGAGGTCAACCTGCTCCAGCCTACAAGAGGGGATAGTGATGAGCAAGACACAAAAAGGACTATAGTAATTATAGCAGTTGGGGCAGGTACAGCATGTTAATCAGATGGATACAACCAAATCAAGTGTCATCCCAGGATATTTGAAGATTTCATGTTTGATCGGGGAGAATATATTGCCTTTGTGCAGAGAGTTATAGGTAAGTGTGAGTGCGATGAACAGATAAGAGAGGGTAGGGGCCATCTGAAATGATAGGTATGACTGCAAATATGATTGAATTGATGGAGATGGATATACTAAATTAAAAGAGAATTCAGTTGGGAGGAACAGAGGACTGAGGAAGGCAAAGGACTGGGGTATGATCAATTTGGAACTGGATTTTAAGTATTAGCAGAAGGTAACAGACATTTTCCGTGTTGTTTGTAATATGCAATGTGGAACTACAAGACCTAGGGTTCATTAACACTATTATGACTGGAACATACTCCTCGGTGCAACATACTATACACTCCCGGTACAGAACACAAACACTGGGGCATACAGGGGCAATCTCATTTATATATGACGCCTTGTCCCTTGACATTGACATACACAAAAAGTAATAGTATAAATAAGCCATAATGATTGCACAGTTACATCCAGCCCTGATGCATCTGAATGCATTTTTCGTTATTATGGAGATTCCATGTATTCATATCATGCAGGGACTACATTAATGAAATATTTTTAGCCCTAGGATAGGTAAGAAGCAGAACTTCACAGAACCATACCATGTATACTGTGTGTTTCTTTTGCAACAAATGAAACCTCTTATCATTAAATACCGTTCTCCAATAGTAGAAACGCAGATGTGCTTTTAATATGACCTTTCTTTAATGGTTTTTCCTGAATCAGTTACACTTCTAAAACTTTACAAGTCTAGTGTTTTTATTTATCAAGTGTTTCTTCTTATTGATTCACCACACAATATATAAAAAGCCTGACTGGAGAATACTGTGTCCAAATGAAAACATATTTTTAAACATAAAATAATAATATACAATTATTGAAGGTTTTCAAATTTAAGCCTCATTCACATGGGTGCAATGGGCCATCCAGCATGAAGGAGCCATCAGGTTATGGCCCTGGATCAACACCCACCAGCCCCTGTATACCTGTCAAATTCGGATGTGCAGCTGCTTCTCTGTTTGCTAACATAAGCTACCTGCATTCAGCTCCAGACGGCTCAAAACGCATAAACAAATGCCTAATTTACGACACAGCAACCATATAAATGAGGCCAAGTAAAGAAATTTTAGCTGTGGAGTAAAGGGATGAGTTGACTTTAGCTGTTTCGCTTCTTGTGTTAGCAAGAGCCAGCACTGTTTACGGTAGTAGATTAAACTCTCAGGTCCCCCAAAAGTAATACTTTAGATATAGTTGGAGCCTTAAGGGCTCATGTACACTGCAGCTGATAAACTAACATTTAGGAGCTGTTCAGTGTTTTTTTTCAGTAGCCCCTGAACTCTCCCTAATGTTTTCCTATGTGTCCATGTACAAATTGTCATTTACAGGCAGTTGAGTTTACAGTTGTTTTTTTGAACGCAGAAAACTTGCGTTCAGCAGTAGATTTTATCAGCGTTTCAAACGCCAAACGCTTGTAAATGCATGTAAACGGCTAACCGTGTTTAAAAGCATTTGCGTTTGAAATTTCCATTTCCAGATGCTGTCCAGAGCCTTTTTTCATCATGAAAAATGCATGCAAAGCGTTTTCCCAGTACTCAAATGGACCTAGCACACCATACTTTGAGGTTTTGCATGAAAGAAAATATGTTAGACACTGCTGCAATAATTTCTGCGCAGAAATAAGCTGGAACACATCCAAACACCACAAAAAAAAGACAGCTAATCTCAACAAATACTGCTGTCTCTGCTTCTGCTCTCTCTATTTCTATCAAAATGTCTTAAATAGTAAATTTTTTACTGTTTTTCAGTGCATTCTAGGCATTTTGGAAGGTCTCCTGAGGTTATCTTTAAAAAATGCTTCTAAATGCAAACGTTCATAAATGCGGTATGCAAACATGGCTAAACAGGCGTTTTTTTACCTACGTATTCCAGCAGTCAGTTTCCATCGTTCAGAAGTGTCCCCTGTACATGGGGCCTGATAGTCTGAATCAGCCCCTGGCCTCTTTTAAGACAGAAAGAGCTCCCAATCATAGTAACTGGCTCTGCCCATATTAACCTCCCTGGCAGTATTCCCGAGTGTAGCTCGGGGTAAAGTTTCAGCACCACAAGCAGTAACCCCGAGCTACACTCGGGAATACCATGCAGCACTGCTCCAGGATCTCTTCTTCACTTACTTTGTCCTGCGCTCCCGCGATGTCCCCCTTGCAGTGTCCCTGGCAATGTCCTCCAGCCGATGCCGACATCTGTCTTCAGGGTTCCGTTCCCTGCGACGTCAGGACGTACGAGGACGGAACTGGCGGGAAATTTAAAAATGTGCAAAAGTGACATTCACAAAATACACTAAAATCACATAGTAAAACATTACTGTATCAAAGCATTTCACATACATTTTGTCCCTAGTGCTTTGTCCTGTGCCCTGCCTGCATTTTCACTATTCTTTCTGCCTGGAAACTGAGAAACG